GATCGGAAATCTGGCTTATTCCATGTGGAAAACACGTTCATTAATCATTCATTGAACGGCAGCGTTGTTATGACGACCACCACAACATCTCCAATCGAATGTGCACTCCGATGTGAACGCTTTTCACTGTGCGCCTCCTTTAACTTTGAATATGCTTCTCTGCATAACCAAAAACTTTGTGAATTGAACTCAAAGACTTTTAGTGAATCAAATGGCTTGGTTGAGAGARAAGGCTTTATGTATTTTAATTCTGTGGTTCATTGAAAACAAAACAGGGACAAGAAACCTAGCCGAGAAAACAAGGCTTCAGAAACCTAGCCCTGTCGTTTGTTAAAATCCTGTATATTTGGACGTTGACCAGTTGTAACTTATAAAGACAATAAAATCATTTGCATACATCATGCTGTAACCTGTTTAGCCGACTTCTTTTTCCAAAACATCATTAACATGAAATTCGTTAGCACTTCGATTTTCTCGACGCCCCTACTCTAAGATAGAAAGGGTCTTGCCTGTATTAGATTCACCAGTAAGTTTTCTGGATCTGTGCCATAATCATCTCATTACCGTTGACAACCATATACCATAGTGAAGAAATCTTGAATGGATGTAAATGGCAGAGCAGGTGATCAGCGATATGATTCAAAGCTCATTTTCCTTAGATGCAATTCGGCAGTTTAAAATATTGATTAGCTTGGTACCTTCCATTMATCTACGAATAAGATGTAAACAAAAATTGATGAATTGATGAATTGCGGATGATTTTRATAGTTATGTAGCTGACTAAGCTGACACTAAAGTTGTTTAAGTTAGCCCTAGTATACCCAGATTTGCCACTATTCTGAAGAATACATCCCTCTACTACAGTYGAAATACATTACTTCTTCTTCTTCTTACTCGCAGCACTTACTTTCTATAATAAAAATGTCTGGAGCCATATCGTAMAAGTCACCTACTACWTAAATGATCGGAGTACACTTCCACCCGCGCACTTTAAAGCTTGTAAATTTGATGTAAATAATATAAACGTTAGGTAATACCTAATAGCGGAGCTTTAGTGACAAAAGGAAGATCATTATTATCTAGTACTTCTATTTCAATGATATCCTTATATTTTATTAGCAGATGTATGCTGTTTCAAGRAATGTAAACACAACATCTTTTGTTAAAAGTGTACGATTTTCTCCAGTGTTCAGCTACCAATCACGCGCAGGAAACTTTCCTATGTCCATAATAYATTGATARCAGCAATCCAACCGTTGCTATTATTCCACAGATCAAAGGATAAAACATTGAAACAAATTTCCAGTTGTGTTTTAAAATCATGAAAGAATTATATCAATCATCATATGCAATCTCCTGAATTTGTTATAATCTTTATGAAACGCTAAAGGATATCCCCTAAAATTCACTAAATAACTATTTTGGAAAAGGTTGTCGGATAGAATGGTGAATAGCAATTGTCGAAAGGCGATTGCACGACCGAAATGATCCRTGGTTTTTCCTAWWT